TAAGAGAAATGCCATGCACAAGTGGTGCAGGTCGGCAACCGCTACAAAGGTACACGTGATGAAAAGTGTCTTCAACAGACGCGACTTGGTCACCGGAGAACACAGTGATTGTTAAATGAACTAACTTGATGGACGGGTGTTTTTTTTTTTTTTTGTTCCCCATTCATACACTGGGGAAAAAAAATGGCTATGGCCATAAAATAGCGTCTGGACAGGGTGGTTCACCTCAGATCCAAAAGTGTCAACGTAGGACAACGGAATATAGACGCAAATTCCCTCGTGATGAAGCTTGCACTCAAGTATGTCATTTGCTTGATGGCACAATGTCATTTGTCAGACTTCCAAAATGCCAGCGTCGACGCCCTTCTTGCAGCCGTTTAACGAGCAGCCACTAAAGGCACACTTGTCTGACAGATGGCCATTAAGATGCCATTTCTGTTCATATATGGATAGAAATGGAAAAAAGATCATCGGAAATTGCCTTCATATAATTTGAAGGTAAAATGCGATACTAAGATGTACCTGTCGATATGTTTTTGGGGGTACATGTTGAAATGTTTAGGTGTGACTCTGTGTATCGAACATCCCTAAAAAGAACCTGTGCAATGGGAGCTTTTGCTTTTCCTTAGCTTACTAACAGTTTTTGCACGTTCATTTCTTTTTTCTTGAATCTTTTTAAGGTCATTGTTTGGTTTCCCTTATCTTTTCAGATAATTGATTTTACTGATTAAAAATGCTGAGTACCACTTTATTTTCTGCCCCAGAAACGAGTCCTCCGTGTCATGCGTAAATGGTTTGCGAACACAAGAAATACAGAGCAGGTAAGAGAGTTCTTTTCTTACAGGGTGTTGCACCATACTGAGATGAAGCGTCGCCTCTGAGTCACGCCTTGGCGTTGCCCGAGCGGTATTTAAAAACCGTTAACATGGTCCGCGGAGACGGATTGCTCTGAGGCACATCCATTATTTAAAAAGGAAAAGAATTAGCCTACAAATTATTAGAGAACCAGTTACACGTGTGTATTTTACTGATGAACATTTAGCTGCGCTAAGAAACGCTCATGAATAATTCCAACCCCCCCCCCCCATCCAAAAAAAAAAACCAGCATAAAATGTCACTTACAAAGCTCGAATGCGCTCTGTTACCGCCGGTACGTTTTGCTTACTGGAAGAAGAAGTAGAAGAGGCTTTAATAGTTCATGAAAAGCGGCGCTTGGTTCAAAATTGCCTCATTTCAACACCTTCCCAAACTGTCATTTGCCTAATCACTCGGGCGTGCGAGACGCGCAAAATCCACATTTGCATCTCGGCGACAATTGCGCCCTGTTTATACAGTCTTTCGGATTTTTAAGAGCACTGGCTTACAGTCTAATGTCGAGCGGGGGAGAGATGAGCTTTTCAACGGCACGCGCAAATAAAACGGGCCGCGTAGCATCCGAATGAGATGATTGCGCGTTCTCCACAGCAATAAAGGAAAGCTCAAAGCCACACGGGAGCAAAGGAAGTCCTTTATGGAAAAGAACGTGGACGACATCACGTCGCAAATACGTCACACTCACGAGATGGGGACGGGGATGCAACCTTTTCAAAATCTCATGGCGCAACATTGTCAAGGTCTTGAAGGCCACGGGACAGAATTATCGCAACGTCATAAGGATTTTAGAAATAACAACTTGGGGCAAAATTGCATCGTGTCCAAAATGATGTGTCAGGAAGCGCAACTCATTTACTGCCAGCTGTTGTTTCGTCCAAAAAGGTCGAGCCAGTACCAGACACTTTTGATCATTTTAACTCATTTTTGAAGGCCTACAAAAAAATGTCGACCTCTAATTCCTTAGTAAACTTTTACAATTTTTGTAAAATTGTAAAAGTATTATTCCTGAATATTTATTTTACTTTCAACCACTCGACATGTTCAGTGGCATCAGTGCTATACATACACATATAGTTCTTATTTTTTTCTTTGTATTGTTGCCCTCTATGGACAATAAAAGCGGTATTGTGCTAAGACCAAAACATAAATATAAATCTATATAAATAAAACATGAATTGGAATATTTCATATCACACAATTTTTATGCTTTGTCTTTGATTTAAAGATGACAATACGCAAAAATCTACAAAAATTGTAGAAATTGTAACACATGGGTTGCGAACAATTTCCCCCTACAGCCCTCGCGATCAACTTGGGACCGGTCGATTGGGATTGACGTATTGGGCAGCCCGATATACAATCTACGATACAACATCACTCAGGAAGTCAATGAATGGAGCTTACACAGCCGGCGAGATGTGTTTGTAGTGTGAGGAACCATAATGACAATTCGGCATGCGGTGCAAAGGGCGAACTCAGCCAATTGAATTCATTGGGCACGATAAGAAGTGACAGAGTGATGAATGAAAACACCCTGAAGGTATTCGGCGGTGAAAGATGCACCGTGATATTTACATACACAAGCATATCTTGATATGCAAAGTTGGCTGTTTGCCTTCCAAGGCGGCGAATGCGCACACGAGCGATGAGCAAACAGCACCGCTCGCTTCGTCTCTCTTTCTCTCTCTCTTTCTCTTTCTCCCTCCTTTTGTGTATGTCAACTCCAATGACACATCACATCATCGGCTGTTAGCTGAGCTGGGAAAATGTTTCCCCATCTCATTTGCCATCGGAGACCAAAGCAGCGTGATGGTTTTGAACGACTCTATAGCGGATACTGTTAAAGTACATCAAATCTAAGGAACTGTTTCATCCGCTCCAGCGGGGATGGTATGGTAATCCCCGGTTGACGGGGGGGGGGGGCTGCGGGATGAGGACCACAGCCTGACGCAAATTATAGAAAAACATCCTTTACATAAAAAAATAAGTGTTTCGTATTGCCGTTTAAAATGCTAAACAATTAACCCCCGTGAATTGTGGGGGGGATGGGGATTGGGCCGGTCCCACTAGCCGCGTATAATTGACAGCTGTTGAAATGCATTGCGGGGAAAAAAAAATCACAAAAATAGTTTTTACGAGCCCCCCCCAAAAATCTTCCAAAAGAAATCCTGGGATTTTTCTTCAAAACATTTTAAAATATTGGAAAAAGTCAAATCCAGGACATGCGCAACTCGAACTAACGATCCAGGCTCAATTTAGCTGCTATCTTGCAAAAAAAAAATCTTCCTCCTCTCAGTCAGGATGTAGAATATATTGGAAAAAGTCAAATCCAGGACATGCGCAACTTGTACTAATGATCCAGGCGCAATTTAGCTGCTATCTTGCAAAAAAAAAAAAATCTTCCCCCTCTCAGTCAGGATGTAGAACGTCAACATATTTCCTCGATGCCAATTCTTGGACTATTTTCCAATTTCTGATCTGAAATGGTTGCCACATCTGAACAGACTCATGTTTTCTGTTTTGTTTTTTTTTCTTCGCCTTTTTGCTTTCTGACACCAGGCAAGCCATTTGACTCCAGACCGACTTGTTTGTCTTGAGAACTGACAGTAGCACGCAGAAATTCAAGAAACGCCACGCTGCGCCGCATCTTCAGGTTTCGGGTGACCTCTTCCGACCTCTCCTGGACCTCGGCTGTCATCAAGACGACGCGGCCTCGGGGCGGCGTCTGCGCGCCCCGAGGCCCGCTCAGGAAAAACAACATCTGCCGAAAGCCGCTCGTGACCACGGAGAGCGTTTTGACTCGGCTGCACCGAGGCAGAACGACAGCGGCTCCGGCGAGTGGTCAGGAGAGCGCAAAAGATCATCGGCCGCCCTTCGCGCTTCCTGAAGAGGGGAGCTTCACGTCCCGTTGCTTCCAAGGAGCCGAAGCCACCCCCCTCTTTGACCCGCCGCCTCCTGAACGGCACCACCGATCCATCAGGAGCTGAAGAGACAGCCTCTCCCGACAATAATGGATGATCCGGCCTTCCCCAAATCACCCATCAAAAGCAAGATTTCCCATTTATGATCAGACTGAATCCCATGAATGAAGATTCAAAACGTGGCAATAAAATGCCTTTCAATGCAGCTCAAACACGATGCTCTTTTCCCATTCCGACAATTAAAAACTCATTCAGTACCAGCCAATTCTGGACCAAGTCTGAAAAGACGTTTAAAAACGTCTTTTGGGAGTGAATGAGTTAAAGGCTAACCAAGTCTTCCAAAAATCTTGCTCTTCCACTCTACGCCTTTGATTTCAAGGGACATCTGAATGGGCCAAACAAACATTGGCTCCTCGAGCGCTATGACGTGCTTGGTGTTTCCTGATGGTTCCATTAGGTTTTAAAGTTTCTTCTTTTTTTTCCAGACAAATGTCTTTTTTTTGGGGGGGGTGGAGGTGATGAGAAAAATTCTTACCTGGCTGATCATTTCGGCTCTCGCTTGAGCCTTCATCGGAGCTGTCACCATTTCCTGCTGACGAGTCTCAAAAACCTTCCAAATAAGGCTCCCCGACGCGGTCAAGGCTGCGCTCCAACCCCCCCCGTCGCCACTGAAGCAACGTGGCACATGTGTGTGGGAGTATGTAAGCCCCCTTCGCTTCTGTTGGTGGTGCCATCTCGGCGCCTCCTTAAGGACATTGCTTCAACGGCAACAAGGGGGGTTGGAGCGCAGCCTCGACCGTGTCGGGGAGGTTTTCCTGGCCCGCTCAGCTGTTTTGAACACACATCACCAGGAGGAAGTGACAACTCTGATGAAGGCTGAAGCGACAGCCCAAACTGTCAGCCAGATACCAGTTTTTCTCTTCACCCCCCCCCCAAAAAAAAAGAAAAAAAAGTCCATTGTTTGGGGAAAAAGAGAAACCTTAAATATTATCGGCACGTATAAAATTCGCCCCCTAAATAATCTTCAGTGATTCCCCTTTTTTGGGGCGGTCGGGGGTGATGACCTGGAGCGTTTTTTGTTTGGTTTCCCCCCATTTCAGCATTTGCACATCAAGGGGGAGGCAAGCACTGTAATAGGTCTCGTCTCCTAGATTGCTTTCTCATGCTCTGTCGTCTGAAATGGTTCTGAATCGCCACCAAAATTCGTATGCGCATTTCTGCTGTTCGCCAGTTCAACATGTGAAAATATAAAAAGGGGGTTGTCCCCTCGCTACTGTTCAACGTCTAAACAATGTGAAAAATGTTTCCTATGAAGCCCCTTGTGTAATGTCCAACCCCCCGCCCGCTTTGATTATTATTATTTTTTTTTTGTTGCAAAAAACTGGGGATATATATTTCTATATCTCTGTCGATCTGACATAAGTTGAAAAAGTCCATGCTGTCTTATTGCTTCAACGGCAACAAGGGGGGTTGGAGCGCAGCCTCGACCGGGTCGGGAGGTTTTCCTGGCCCGCTCAGCTGTTTTGAACACACATCACCAGGAGGAAGTGACAACTCTGATGAAGGCTGAAGCGACAGCCAAAACTGTCAGCCAGATACCAGTTTTATTCTTCACCCCCCCCCAAAAAAAAAGAAAAAAAAGTCCATTGTTTTGGGGAAAAAGAGAAACCTTAAATATTATCGGCACGTATAAAATTCGCCCCCTAAATAATCTTCAGTGATTCCCCTTTTTTGGGGCGGTCGGGGGTGATGACCTGGAGCGTTTTTTGTTTGGTTTCCCCCCATTTCAGCATTTGCACATCAAGGGGGAGGCAAGCACTGTAATAGGTCTCGTCTCCTAGATTGCTTTCTCATGCTCTGTCGTCTGAAATGGTTCTGAATCGCCACCAAAATTCGTATGCGCATTTCTGCTGTTCGCCAGTTCAACATGTGAAAATATAAAAAGGGGGTTGTCCCCTCGCTACTGTTCAACGTCTAAACAATGTGAAAAATGTTTCCTATGAAGCCCCTTGTGTAATGTCCAACCCCCCGCCCGCTTTGATTATTATTATTTTTTTTTTGTTGCAAAAAACTGGGGATATATATTTCTATATCTCTGTCGATCTGACATAAGTTGAAAAAGTCCATGCTGTCTTTTGGCAAATCGCCTCCAGACGCACCATTCTGCACATTCCACATGTCTGTATACGGAGGAGCCGGCCGCATTTTACCTTGATGACGGGGGAGGCAATCTGGATGTGGTGCAGCTTGTGCAGGGTGCTCTCCCTGTCAGTGAAGTAGGAAGCCGCCAGCTGGTGGAGAGCCTCCAGAGTCACCGCTGTGCCATTAGCGTCACTCAACTCACTCCATCCACTCAACTTGCGCTTGTCCACAAAGATCATTAAAGACTCTTCTCCTGCCAATTTGAAAGACAGACACATTAACATGTCATTCGTCAATTCAAGCACAAGTAAAATGTTCACAACAAGAACAACCAGAGAGTAATTTACGCATGGAAGCATCGTTCACCCAAATAATGTTTCATTGGCCCCAGAGGAACAGCGACATGATCGCAGGACGATCGGAAGCGAATTTAGGGCTCGGTACAAAGAAAAAAAAGATGAAAACAACCCCCCCCCCCCAAAAAAAAAGATATTTCAAACGAGACGATTTTGTAACCGTGCACCCAAGGTGATGGACACTGAAAAAAAAAAAAAATCTGCAGGAACACACTCAACAAAAAGCAGCGTCAAAATGCTATGTTTGAAAAATGAGATTTTTTTTCATTCAGGACAGTCATTCAAAAAGAAAGACAAATAAACACAAGCAAGTATCTCATGAGTGTACTTTTTTTTTTTTGCAATGGTCTAAATGATTGGGTTGCGTCATCTCAAGCCACCTTCACATCATCCCTGTTCGAGCCCAATCGAAGTGGTGCCCTCATGGGATGTTTTTTTTTTTTTTTTTTTCTGTTTTAATGCAAATCTCCAGCTGTCGGAGCACTCGGAGGTGCAATGAGAGTTAGCAATTGAAAAATCCTCCAGACAAAATGAGCTTTAATGGCGGATGCAGTGCTCATTTCATTGCCCAAGACCCCGCAGCTAACACAGTGTTTGAGAGCAGATGACAGTTCTCATCTGAGTCTCTTCTGCACTGGAAAAAAATAAAAAGAAATAAAAATCTAATCTCAGGGCGGTGGCGCGTGGGCCGCGACCAGCTCAGCGTGTGAGCTGCAGGTCCAACAATGAATCAATTAATTGACAACTGGGATCCTATCTCCGCCCAGCTACTAAGTCATGGGCGGACAAACACAGTCTGTGGCCATTTGGATCTGTCAAATGTTGATGTCGCAACTCAGCAATTGTAATCATTCCTCGCTTACGGACACGGAAATAAGCAGCTCACATACAATCTTGGCTTGGCAGGTTAATCCGCTCTTGATGGGCGGGCAAGCACTCCACAGAGACAAACATTATTATACAAGCAATTAAAAAGTCATTTTCATATCGGTAATATGTCACCTTTAACACAATCTCAGTCACGTTGTATTGTTCTTATTAGTTTGTTCAAGGGGGAAGATAATAGATTGCGATCCAGCTCACGGATTCATTTTCGGGCATTTTTTTGGTGCGGGAGTCAGTTCGTGGAAATGAATTGATCATCTTTACGTCACGTTGGAGTGGAAAAATGAATGCTATACCATGAGTCAAATGCATCCAGCAATGGGAAAATGGTAACAAAGACATCACGTTTGATATTGAAATCAAAAATGACAATAAGGAATGCAAGGACATGACTTCATATATGCTTAAAAATACGAATCAGAATAATGTCAATTTGGGCTCTATTAAGGTGCACGAAATGCATCCCCGGTGCAGAAATAAGCTCACACTGCCTGACAAGTTGAGGAATAATCAAGAGGTATACTACAAAACAAGATCTTGAGCTGGGTGTGTGTGTGTGTGTGTGTGTGTGTGTGTGTGTGTGTGTGTGTGTGTGTGTGTGTGTGTGTGTGTGTGTGTGTGTGAGTGACCTTTTGGATGATTAAAAGAACACAACAAATAATCGCCAGCGATGTCTGGCCCACCGAGCATGCAGGAGATTTAATTAATCAAGGGCATAATATTGCCGTGCTCTTCTGGCGATACGCTCAGCTGTTGACAGAGCCCAACAATTTCAAGAGACGACCTCATCACTTTAATTTACATTTGAGTTTTGATTTTGCTTGACTTTGACATTTTTATACTTTTTTTTTTCCTGTCAGGTATTTTTTTTCCTGACTCTGTAATTACCTCGATGGATTAGATGTTGCTTACTCACAGTGTTGCGTTCATAATATCGCTCAAGAAACGGAGAAGAGCATGAATAGAGCTGCTTCTTACATGGGCAGGCAAGGAGAAAGTCAAAAGACGTCAAGAAAAAAGGCTGTTTCTCGACCCCCTAGGGAGTCCGAAAAAGAAGGACCAGGGCGCCCCCACCAAGAAAAAAACCCCACCAGAGTGGTGGAGGAAGGTGGGTGTTGTCATGCACGGACGCACGATCAGGCATAGAAGAGTCCATCCACAGCGGCGAAAATGACATCATCCGCAAGTGGAGATCTTGCAGTTGACTGGAAATGCACTTGGCGTGCCCTGATCTCCTGCGCGGACTCCAGCGAGTCCTTTCGGTGTGCGCGCCTCTTTCTGAGCAGAGTTAGAAGGGAATGAGCCGGGAGACGCTCCGACTGGCCTGCGTTCCTTCCCACAACGGCGCCCTCTTCCATCTGCGCGAGTCCAGCAAAATGCCAAAAGAAAATCTCCACCCAGGCGCACCGTGAGACTGCGTTATGCGCTAGATTTACGCCGGGCATGGAATTTGTAGTTTTGAGAAAATATCGAGCACAAGTCAAAGGTCGAAATTTAAAATCAGCACTCCGTTAGTTTTGTTGCGTCGTCTTCCTGTGTCCCTTCTTAACGTCTTCCTAGTCTGCTTTGCAATGACTTTGTCTCATCAGCGCTGCTCCTTGTGTCGACCGTTCGGCTCTCTCCGACTTCTCATTTCATGTCCGTGTGCCTCGTTGACTCGCCGGTCTCTTCCCATCTCGGGTGATCGTCCTTCAGCATGCGTCCCGTGTCTGTCATCTGTGGTGGTGAGTCCTTTGTGTTTCTTTCCTCCTTGGCATCCTGTTATTTCAGGATCTTTTGGTGCTGCCAGCTTGTACATTTGTTTGCCATTTTTCAAATGAACTGCACGCTACTATGACAAATATGTCACAGATTGCCGGACGGTCATGCTCTGAACATCACATTTATCCAGCAGCCGATTCAAAGTATGACAATACCGAAGACGACGAGCGAACCAGGTCCCGTTGACTTTATTTACCTCCCAACGTGGCGGAGACGAGGAAATGGGTTCCGTATTTCCGAATAATGTTGTCGGTGATGGCGCTGAGACTGGGCCGCCGTCCCAGATGCCGAATGGCCTGGAGGAACTCGGGGTCCAGCGGAAAGGGCACGCCATTGTTCACTTGCCTTTCCATAACGAGGCTGTTCACCTTCCATCGTCCGAACTCCCTGAAAAGACGAACAGGAGAAACGCAAATCACACATATGTATGCATGTCTTTAAAAAAACAAAAAAAAAAACAAGTATGTACAACACAAGGTCATCTAATCATTGTTTTAGATCAAGAGACTCCCCCCCCGACCCCCCGTAAAAAAAAGTGCGCTGCACGTACGATCATATTTTGTTACTTCTCCCTGCGACAATGGCTTTGCACTACAGTGAAAAACATTGGGTTTCTCTGCAGGGGATTACTCATAAAAATTGCTCAATCTCATCTGCATTTACCGAGTGATTTCCCCCCCCCCCACCCCCACCCCCATTTGTTGGATAGACCCATGCTGCTTTAAGCACCTCTTTTGGTGCAAGCTTGGTCTGAAAGCGTTTGATATTCAGCCTGTCCTTGGAGCATGCCAAGCTGTCTTTATCTACGGAGTGCAGAACCCGATGCTTGATACATCGATGAATACGACCCAAATACTACAGACGCTGTATTGGAGCGGATCAAAGAAAATGAAACACCTTGCAATCGGGTCGCTACTCAACATCTTTTATTGCATATTGGAAAGTTCAATCCATTTTTTTTTTTTTTTTTGCTCCAACGATACTCCAATATACTATACTAGTTGTAAGTCATTGCTTGATTATATATAGACATCGATATATAGATATAGATATATGTATGTTATGGATCCCACACACTTGGAATCCCGGATAACAAAGATTTTGGCCGTTCCTAAACAGGTAATGTGGAGAAGGAGTGTCGATACGAACCACAACCTCCAAATCCTTGAGAGGTCACAGACACCCCGACACACACAAAAAAACCAAAAACAAAAGACAAACGTCGTCTCCAGTAACGCAGCAGCGAGCAGTGAAACAAAGCTAGCCTTGCTGAAAGTAATTTTCCATTGCCCGGAATATCATTCAGCCCCCGTGGGTGCGGGCCTGCCGCCAATCAATTTCCCACCAATAACAGTGACCCCCTGGGAAATAAATACACCAAACAGAAAACAGCTCATCAAACCCGCTTTCATGTCTGTCCCCGTCCTCGTGACCAGCCGCCATTTTATAGATTTGCATCCACGGGGACCGACTTGAAACGGAAGAACTCGAGCCAGATTTGCGGCTCGCATCCAGCTGAGCCCGCAACTGCAGAAGCGCCCAAAAATGCGACTGGAAGACCTCAAGCGGAACTTCACAGAAAATCACAACACCGAGCCTTGCGAAATACTGGCCCATTTCCCGGCGAGATCCCGAATAGCTGTCATGACCAAAGACGCGCGCCCACCGAGACAACGGCTTGAACGAAGGCCTGGATGCACTCGTACCTGTCGGCGGCCCTTTTGCGGCGAGCTGGAGCATCGGGTATCGGCGGGAGACAGCTCAAGGGCTGTGATCGGCGGAAGAGGTAGTAAGCCGTTACCTGTCCGTCAGAACGCGGGTGTCTCGGATCCATCGCGGCATGAAGGCAGGCGGCCCGAGGGCGCAGCTCTTTGCTGAACAGAGCAAATTGAGCAGGCAACTTCACCGATGGCTGACGCGCTAAAAATACACCAAGCGCAACCGATGCATGCGAATGACACTCGGCGGCGCTCACTGAAAAGTGCAAACAGAATGCCCTTCCCTTCCTGATTGGATGCGGGCAACATAAAACGTCGACAAACCTTTGTTCAAATGCCAGTTTTTTTTTTTTTATGGCGTGAAAAAAATAGAATAAATGGAAAACGCTTTCCATGATGCGCCTCTGTTCGGAATTCATCACATCCGGCGTCAGGTTGAATGAGAGTCAGTCAGCGCACACCGGCCACCATTTTGAACTCATTCCGCGCCATCCATTTTCAGAGCCTTCATGACCCGACCAAACAGACAAATACAAATCCAAACACAGAAAGATCTACGGGCGGATGAGCGCTTAGCACGTCGGCCTCACAGCGCAGAAGCGCATGGTTCGATTCCGGCTGCGGCTTTCCTGCGTGGAGTTTGTTCTCCCCGTGCCTGCGTGGCTTTTGCTCGGGTACTCCGGTTTGCTCCCACGTTCCAAAAACATGCACGGCAGGTTCACGGAGCTCTCTCTTTTGTCCCAAGGTGTGAGTGCAAATAAGATAAGATAAGATAAGATATCCTTTATTTGTCCCACACTAGGGAAATTTACAGCCTTCAGCAGCAAGATTGTGGGTAGAAAGAAGAGAAAAGAAAACACAGTTCAATTAAGTGCAATATAAATACAAATATGGATAATGAACCATTTGTTTTGTACCATTTGGCTTGTAGTACCCTGAAATGAACCATTTCAGGGTACTACAAGCCTGGCCTTCATCTCAAACAAAAGTGACTTGTGTTGAAATACTCTTTGCTGCTCCAAATGGGAAAAAAAAAAATGGAGAACTCAACAAAATTGAAAGTGTCGGCCATTAAAGCGCGTCATGATGTGCCATCTTGTTCTTGTGGACTGATGTTTTTTTGTTTTTGAATTCCCCCCGCCCAGTCTTTGTGCTCGATCACGCCATGCCAAATGCAACGACGGCGATTATACTTGCGCACACTAGCGTCTCCATGTCGTACGCGCCGCATGAACAATGACATTGGCAGTGACCTCGATGCATTCTCGTTTGAATCAGCCTCACTGTCGTCATTCGGTGTGGAAATACCTCCAGGTGAAAAAAAAACCGCCAGGGACTTCAAACAGCCTGAAATGACGGGCCGCGGTTAAGAAAAAGCCCGCAAGCTTTGATTTGCATTTCGGCGCTTGCAGCCATCAGAGAGTCCGAATAAATGTTTCCGCAACCCTTTTAAGCCTGCGCGAGCTCGTGCGACAGCTTGATAGTGACCGAGAAAACATCAAGTGCCAGTTCGACAACAAAAGCGTCCTTTGAATTGGATCACGTATGAGTTGTATCTGAAAAGTTCCACGACAGGCGTCCAACAACGCAATCCTCCAGGAGTCCAAGGCCGGGTGCGCACAAAAGGAGTTTTACAAATTTCCAACTGTAGTTTTCAAACTTTGGCAGACACCGCACAATGATAACGAAATCAAAGAAATGATTGCTCATCACGACCTGTAAGCGTTCAATTCAAACACACCGCGTTGCGGCCATCCAAAACGCCATTGCACAAATGAAAGCCGCTCAACTTGCCGAGGACGTCTGAGTGAGCCCACCTCCAAATTCACTCGTCATTAGCGGGGCCGAAAGCGAAGAAACAAATGAGATCTCAAACAAACCAAACATGCCCGTTTCCCGATGGAGCAGACCCAAGGGGGAGGGGGGGGACCCTACCCCCCACCCAAGGTCAACACGAGCTATTCTATTGACAAGTGTGAAGCTGCCTGCTTCTCAAACATGCTCATGTTCATGACCTCCACCGTCTATTCCCAAAACATCTCATCACAGGACTATTTAAAGGTCACGCAGAAGCGCAGCAAATATAATTGGTCATTTCCGTTGGGTTTTGCCGCGTGCTTTCTTGTAACCTCGTTCCGTGATGAACATTTCCATCCTCGGCAGGTCAACAGAGTTCCTCTAAAAACATTTGCGCCCTTGCTCCTTCGACCAAAATCATTGCCCGGGTGACGACAAATAAGCTTCAGGTGATTGCTAAGCTAACCGACGATTGTAACGGCTAGCGCGTCGTAACGCCGCGATAAAGTGCTCGGGCGATCGCGTTCACCTCACCGGGGTTTGCCTGGAACCGCGTTAAATAGGAACGGGCCCAACTTTACGCGGCAAAATAGCAGGAATGGAGAGGAAATTCCTTCCTTCCCGTTGACGGTGTTTTGTCCCCCTGATAGTGCGGCTGATCTGCAAAGCAGCAGCTCCTCAAGTGAAAAGCTTCTGAGCGGTGCGAACCGTGCCGTGGCATTCGTTTTGCGCCCTTGCTCCTTCGACCAAAATCATTGCCCCAAATAAGCTTCAGGCGATTGCTAAGCTAACCGACGATTGTAACGGCTAGCGCGTCGTAACGCCGCGATAAAGTGCTCGGGCGATCGCGTTCACCTCACCGGGGTCTGCCTGGAACCGCGTTAAATAGGAACGGGCCCAACTTTACGCGGCAAAATAGCAGGAATGGAGAGGAATTACTTCCTTCCTGTTGACCATGTTTTGTCCCCCCGATAGTGCGGCTGATCTGCAAAGCAGCAGCTCCACAAGTGAAAAGCTTCTGAGCGGTGCGAGCCGTGCCGTGGCATTCGCGTTGCTTTCAAGACGGACAAAAATTAAGACGACGTCACGGTCAAAAATAAAAGGAGGTTTATCCCGCGACCTTGTTTTATCCACGGCCGCGCTCTTTTAACAAGCCAATTAAGCCGGACGAAACAGTTCAATCCCGCGCTGCGAGACAGTCATCGCGATTTTGACAAGTGATGCGGTGACTCGTACGAGACATCGGCAAGCGCGCGCGTGTGTCGATACATAACTCGATACGTCATGTGCAAGCAAGACCGCAAGACACAAACATCTTGCGCCACATTATGATTTTTATATTGCGGTATGCCGTCGTGTGTCGATACATAACTCGATACGTCATGTGCAAGCAAGACCGCAAGACACAAACGCCTTGCGCCACGTTATAATATGGCGGTATGCCGGATCGATTTGAAGCTAAAGCGATCAACTAAGCTACAATAACGATAATGTTGGTCACTTGTGCGGCTGTACACAAAAAACAGAAACAAAAACTGAACCTCTTTTCAAGATACCCCGTTGAGGTTTCCACCCTTATAACGTTCACGAGTCCCGAGTTCACGTCATTCATTTTCCATTTGCCAATTTTGCTGACAACGAGCACCTTTACAACCTCAACTTCAGTATAGCGGACGGATTGCGACGAACCGCGGGAAGCGAACTGCCAGCGCGACCTTGCTTATGAAGGGAGTGTCCGTCGCCGGATTCCCCTTGGTTGCTTCGCAACGCCACCGATGGAGTCGGGATATTGTCGTTCTACTTCGTGAGGCGCGGTGCACATGGTCTGAAAACGCGTCTGCTAAACGGAAGCAAATCTCATGTTGATACTGAATCGCATGTTCGTGTTTTTATGTCTCTAATTGTTTGTACCGTCTTCCACGTTGGAGGTGGCGGCCATTTTGTTGACCGACCGTTATCGCGTCCAGATTCGTTATGTTCCCTCGAGGTGCGTGGTAACTAAGTTTGACTGTACTCAATTGTATTTCGTCAAGTGGTAGCGCGAAATGAAAGCATCCGGATCCAGATAGATAGTTTTACAGTGGTGGGGTGGGGGGGGGGGGGCGGCTACTTTCGAGAACCTCTGGCTGGGATCATTCCTCCATCACACACTTGTCACAAGTCATAAGCTCCGCGCTGGCTGACGTCCTCGTCATTGCCATCGCTGCCGGACATCAGGGGAAGGACTTTGCTCAGCTTGTTTTTTTTTTTTTTTTTTTTCCCCCCCCTGAAGATACAGACAACCTATGGCTGGAGGACGAAAGACTGACTTGGTTCTCGCTGGACAAGCCATACGGGCACTTGTGTGTACATACGAACTGGTGTGAAAAAAAAAAAAACTTGCATCTCATCAGCTGGGCCACTTGTAATATCAGCATTCACCACTAGATGGCACACACGCGGCTTAGCTATGCTTGCGCCGGGTTTTGTGAGTCGGCTTGAACATTTCGTTGCGGATTGGGAATGACGTGCAGGACAAACATTGTCATTCAATATGATAAAAATTTTGAGTGAGTTGAATTTTGCGAGAGAAAAAAAAAAAAGAGATCTTCATCGTCAAAGTGATGGTCCATGGAGAGGACAAATGAAGAACTGACATTTTGACTGATATGGCCACGCTCATGTTGGTACGCGATGTGAGAAGCTCTCTTTCACAACACGTCTCCACCGCATCGCCACCTCTGATGCCCCCCAAAAATGTCAAACTCATTCTGTCAGTGTAAGAAGGAAGAATCGTCAGTGAAGGAGTGACGTTAATTGCCTGACATTTTCTGCATGCGTCGCGGTGAAATGGCTTCCCGCAAGTGCTGTCATACCTGCGTTTCATATCTGCCTCTTGAAGGAGTCCATTTATGTCTCCAGACAACAAATTAGAGCTGAGCAAATTTTTACATCGCTCTCTCGCGTTTTTCTTTCTATTCTTCCCTTTTTCACCAGCATTTTGGGAAGGGGAGGAAGGTGGGGGACCGATGGATGTCATATTTTACATTTCGTGGATTTACGGTGAGCTATTTAGGAAAGGCTGAACCTGAAATGGATCCCGTCCACATGAGCTCACCGTGGAACAACTTTTCTGCAAATTGTTCTGACGGATGGAAACGAGCCACCAGCGGCGACGCGCGGCCTCGACAATGCAATTGTCTTTCTTCACGACAGTGGTTTGAAAATACATTGGGTTAGTCTTTGAATCCAGTGGCGGATGCTGGTCTGTCAAGGACGGACGGGGAAGCTCAATTACGGCCTACATCATAAAATGTGTCCGCTTATTTATACGTGAATTCTACTCTCCGTTCCTTTTCAAAAAAAATGAAAAGGATGCCTTCACCAGAAGATCGGTGATTGGCTCATTTCGCTGTCAATCAAAAAGAGATTCAGCCTCAGACAGATCATCCAATCATCATGCAGAAAAAAAGCTCAGCGTCCGGGCCAGCCCATAAACGCCCATTGAGCGTCCGACGGGCGGGACAAAAGCAGCATTTATCCAATGACTCGTCTCATTTCAATGCATTGGGACAACCTATACTGAACTCTGGCGACGCCCAGCGTCCGCGCGGTCGACGCTCAGCGTCCACACAGTTTAAAGCACAAAGAAGCTGCGGGAATGAATGAGAAGAGAGTCGCGTCAGAAGCAGTAATAAGAAGCTGATTCGGAACAAAAGTTGAGCGCGTTGGAGCGCATATTTGGTCAGTGACAGGCACACATCGATTTGATCACTTACTTTTTGACATTTTATGGGAAGCTGAGCTTCCCTTGCAGTCTTTGAGCAATCGCCTCTGTTTGAATCAGAACGGGTTGATTGGTATCTTCGAATATCCATAAAAGTTCTATCGATTATGAATGACAGCTGTTTTTCTGCCGCCCTCCCTTCTCACTCTGCCCACCTTCACCGTTTTCAACTCACCTTGCAGCCCCCTGTCAAAAATCCTTTTTAGTTTAGTTTTTGAACAATTATGATTCTTATTATTTTTTTGGGTCATGTCGCGAGCCGCTGAAAATGGCCCCCAGGCCATAATTTGGACACCCCTGATGTGAGAAGTATTTTGGCAAGGTTGATTTGGAGCTATGATATTTATTTCACTTCATCCCTACAGAAGTAGCGGAAAGTAGCTTTCCAACAATAGCCTGTGGCGTCAAATTGTGCACATTCCCACTGTGCTTCATAACACACACACACACACGCACAGACACACACACACACACACACACACATGCACACACACACACCTCTGAAGCCATTCAATCTAGTCTGCCACCCTTGAGCTGGCTCAGCAGGCTATCGGCTTGCTCAAACGTGTCTGCGCCATCTTCGCTTTTGACTGACACGCAGGCTTCATGTTTTAGAAAATCGCTCCTACCCGCAGACGATTCTGAAAATTAAGGAGAAGGAGCGATGCGTCCAAAGCGCAAGAGAAACCTCAAGGCGCCTCGTTTTCATTTGCAGAAAGTCATAAACCCAAGATGACTCAAAGAGTTATTTCTATCATCAAATGTAAATGTAAAAGAAAAAAAAAATGACGCCGGGATGTTGGGCAAACTCAAACATCGATGATCATTCATCTTGAAGTATGTCGCCATTTGCCAGCAACAAGGGCTGCCAAGTCTTACCTGTAAATTTTATACTTGGTCGTGAATCCTTGCCGGTAGCGCTCTGTGAAATCAATAAACTCCTGCGAGCGGTGGAAAGGACCCTTGGCTGTCAGGAGCCAGCCCAGGGGCCCCGCGGAGCCGGCGAAGCCGGCTCGCGCGGGCTCGGCGGCCTCGACCCCCGCCGACCTCCGGCTCGCCAGCAGGCTTAGTGTCAGCCACGTCCATAGAAACATGAGGGCCGTCAGTCTAAAGAGGATACAGGGGCCACTCATGTTGCTTCCACCGTCCCCGGTGACTCCTCATTCTCCTCGCAATTCCGTCGAGTCCTCGAGATAATCAAGAAGGGAGCACGAGGTGAGACAGGCGCGACAGAGACGCGCAAAATCTTTTGCAAAGGAAACAAAGGATTGCAGCTGCCCCCCCCTCCTTAATTAAAATATATATATATCTCTCTCTCTCTATATATATATATATATATATATATATTTCTGACCTCATGATTGACAACTGCAGTTTTTAGACAATACGTTGAATTTGTTGTGTTTTATGTACAAATGACGAGTAAGAATGGATTTGGTCCCTCGGTCAGGGGTTTTGGACACGTTTGAGTCCCCCAACAGACCAAATCACAAATTTGTCGATTCCACAGTCCAGCAAGAAAGAAAGAAATAATGATCAACAAAATGCCCACAAGGAACTTATGTTCTCTTTGAAATGAAATGAATACAAACCATTTCAGTCGATATTGCTATCGGACGGTACACATTTTCCATTGATTGATTTGAATTGATATCCGTTACCTGGTCGGGAAGCGTTTCGGTCCGTAACTTGACGAAATGGGTCTCCGTTACATCCTCCGATCGGCGAGCGAAGTTGCGGATGGTTCGATGAACGGACAAGGCGGCAAAGGAAAAGTACTTTTTTTTTTAGCGCTGTTTTATCATCAACATTTCAACAAACGCTCCTTCGAAAGTGCTCAGTCGAAGGCTACCCGACCTTGTGGGTCCATTTCCCCCCCTCCTCCTTTTTTTTAATCCGGTTGAAATGATGTGGCGATGGGCATCGTCAATTCAATCCCACGGAAGGAGTCGCGCGTGATCCAAGAGCGCATTCCGGGTCGACGTGCCGCGTCTCGTGCAACTCTTTCGCTGGCTTCGGCGAAAATGTCGAGTGCAAGTTGCACCAAGTCGGATGAACGCACCTTGAGGCGCAAACGCGGCGCCGACTGCCAGCACGAGCGCGCGCGTGCGTGCGTGCGTGCGTGCGTGCGCGGGTGTGGAGAGCATGAACGGCGCCCTCTCCCTCGCGTCTTGAACGCTCAGCCTCATTTTTTTGTAATTTATTCCAGCAGCGAGAGCACTCCCGGTTGGCTGAAACGCGTAACGGCAGGCGTGAGAGTGGAGGGTGGTGGGGGTGTTCACAAGGAGGCGGTGGTCGGAGGAGGGACGAGCATTTAGTGTTGGAGTCATGCAGTCTAATTTCCTCGTCGTACTTCTGATACTCAATAAGCGGCTCATTAAATCAATCGGGCACGGGCCCCGTTTTGCACTTTCATCACCTTCCATCATAACATTTTAAGACAAAAATTTACATATCCAGAAAAAAAACACACGAGATCAGGACTACAGTGGAGCCGACATTTGTGTATTTGCGCGTGGGGTGTGTTTGTGTGTGTGTGTGTGTGTGTGTGTGTGTGTGTGTGTGTGTGGTGGTGGGGGGGACCAAACTTTTTGAGGGTGACAGCTAATGCTCGGCGGCTGATTAGTGTAAAGGGCTGCCAGTTTGATACACGCTTCTTAAATGACACAGTTGGTTGTTATTGTTGTGATTATTATTATTATTATTATTTTTGGTAGTACCGTATATGTTATCAATATGTCTGGCTGGGAGGAAAACAAAATGAGATCGGTTGAGGCAAAAATGTTTGCCTCCAAACGGGAGGTGGCTTTGATGCTCTTGTCCGGTTTGTTTTTTTCAGTTTCCGCCTGGAGTGGAGGGCGTTCCCCTGAGAGTCGCACCTGTCGCTAATCATCCTCTTTGTCCAGCCGCCTTCAGAAGCTCTGCCACGCTGCTAACTGGCATTATTCAGCCTTGCTGGCGACTCGAGTCGTCGTCAAAGTAGTTCTTGTTGCTATTTTTCAGCGTTTGTCTCTCCGGCGTGTCCTGGGTTTTCCTGCCGCTGGGACGTGCCCGAAACACCTCACCGCGTAGACGTCCAGGAGGCCTCCTAATCAGATGCCCGAGCCACCTCATCCGGCTCATTTCCGCGTGGACCAGAAGCAGCTCGATCCTCTCCCGGATGGCCCACCTTCTCACCTTTACGGGTAGAAAGCGGCAACGTGGCGAACAGCAGAGCAAACGTGGTCTTTCTCTGTGCAAGTGCATCCGACTCTGTCACGGTTTCGTCTTCATAATGTCCGTTTCCAACGGCTAATATCATTTAGGCTCAATGAATCCGAAACGCGTCGGATGATTTGTCAAAGGTCGGCCTTACTGACGGCGCCTGTGATCGCCATCCGCATCAAACCTTGAAGTCCGTCGACTTTTCATCCTCGCCCTCTTCCCGCGACTCATTCTTCCGACACAATCGTCATCACCCTCGCCGTAAGTGAAGTTAATTAGATCCGCTTCATCCCGGCTCGCGCCTCGGACGCCGCGCGCGGATCAGAGCGAGAGAAAGGAGGGGGAGACGTGCCGTCGTTCAGCCTTGCCGTCCACGTTCAAAGGACGGTTTCAGACCGAGATCGGATTATAGAAATGAACACCACTGAGCCGTGAGATTCGTCGACTCCCAAACTCAAAGGGAAGCCGCAATCCCGCGGCGCGGCCACACTCGTCCAAATGGGGGAGCGAGAGAAAGAGGTGATTTGTCACAGTTTCATCATCGTGTCTTGGGATCGGGCGGCTTTTCTTTTTGCCCCTCCGCATCCGTGATGACTTGCGAAGGACAGCCAAACGACCGCCGACTTCTACTAGCCAGCGAAAAAAAACAGGACACAGATTGCATATCTCCATTGGAAAAGTTTTCTTCCTCTTTGAAAACATAAAACTGGAGCCACTACCTCAAGACCTCAAGTGCTAAGCTACTCTCATCCTCTGCTTTTCCTTTGCTCTGACTGTCTCTATTATAAGTCGCTCTCGCACAACTCTAATTGCCCCACGGGGATAAATAAAGTTTTCTGAATCTGAATCGGAATAATTCACTATTAGCAGTGGATGACTGGTCAGTACAAAGTCATGGAGATGAAGCGCCAGACGCCAGCAGGAGCAAGAACACAAGACATATTTCTATCCGAAACGATGTGGCTGCGAAGAAGGAGGACCAAGGTGCGGAAGCGCCCTTGCTTGTTGACAAACACGGCTTCCCTCGCAGGGCCCCGCTCTCATTAACTCCTCCACTCCAAGTCATCATTAGACAGCAGCAAAATAATCGCGGCCGGCAATTTATTGAGCGGCAGGCAGATCCCGGGTTGAGCGACTCGGTCAGAGTGCGGGTGAGTCAACGAGTGGCAGGGAGGACTCTGGCAGTTGCATTTACTCAGCGCCGAGGCAGACGGTCATTAGGGTGGAGTCAACATTCACTTAAGCCCTCGCGCGCTCGTCGATGCCACTCGTGGGTCTTTGCGCCGAGCGATCGGGGAGCTGAGTGTCGAAGCTCGCGCTTTTAATTAGCTTGAAAAGCCGTCAGCTTGTTTGTCGGCGGCGCCTCTTGTGATGCGCGCTCCTCGCCTTACAAACGTCAAGATGCGTTTAGGACCTTGGTTTTGTTGCGGTGAAAAGCACTCGGGGCCTATTGATGCCAGTTAACTACCTCTGCATGTCCAAGATAATAAAAAAAAAAAAAAATACGCTTGCAATCAGTGGTGGAATTAAAAAACAACAAAAAAAAAAACAAAAGCGCAGACAGAAAAATCGTTTTGCGGATGGCCGACATATTGGATTCGAGGCATGCGTAACGTGGCGATTAAAAATCCAGGAGCCCATCAAAGCGTTCATCAGTTGCTCCGATGTCCTCGCTGTAAATCAAGAGCAGGAGGATTCAACGAGGCGTGAGTGCATCTCCTTTGTAAAAAAATAAAAAGTGCGTGCAAATGCCTCGGCATTAACGGCAACGTCTTCGTGCCTCTCTTTTCCTCGTGATTTTGGTTCATCTGCGGCGCTCATTTGGTGGCGTCGTTAGTGAGAGCGATCATGACAAAACAAGAACAACGGGCAAAACGGTGAAATGAAACCATCATCGGAAACGTTCGTGTGAGGGCTTTTTGTTCAGGAGCGGGCGGGTATGTGTCAAATGTCAAAAAAAAAAAGGATGCCAATTATTTGTCATTCTATTTCCCGCCCTGTAAAAATCCAGCGAACAAAGCGGCGCACATTTTTCACACTTGCCAGTCAACGCAGAAACAAACGGCACATTCATCAGACAGCTGTGAAAAGCACACGCCCGAAATGTCTTTCTCGAAAGCAGTAAGCGAGCTTGCCCCAACACGGACAACGTCTCATCATTCTGTTGTTTGTTGTTAGCGTTCATTTTGCAGTCGCCAAAGCAAATGTTTGGGCTCTCGTCTTCATTTTGGAGTCACGCACATTGATTCCGCTCTGACCACTTCAATCTCGGTGGATCGGAATCCTTCATCGGTCTGGTGGAAACTAATTTTTAGCTCAAAACGATGCGAACCTTTTGGAGTATTTGTCGACGAAAATTATTTTGGAGAACGATCGCGATTAGGGATGACAAAAAAACGAAGAAGCCTTTTTGGACGAAATTGAAAATGGCTGCCAAAAAAAACAACAACACACCGCGTGGGGATCAATCACAATGAGGAACCCTTCACTGCAGTCCGTATCGACGGCGCATTTCTATTCTTAACCTTGAAATAGAAAAATGAAATCATGAAATAATGCCGTCGTCGCCTCACAGAGGCACCAGCTCGCTATATTAGTCCCAAGACGCTTTTCATTGCATGTTCCCTCCCTTCACACTGAACGATTTTGACATGCAGCGTATATTCAGTAGGACGCATACGCACGCACGCACGCACACACACACACACGCATCATTTGTGTGTAAACGATCCAGTCTTGTATCACTTTGAACTTAATATACACTTTCGAAACTACTCCTCGGACTGCTGAGTTTATTTCTCGGAGAAGAAATGATCTTTGCAAATGTGACCCAGCCGAGTCAAAACGAAAACATCAACTTGAGCAACTGAAATTGTCACGATTCTGTTTTTATTTGCTTTCGATTTGATTTCCTTTTGTAGTTGCCTGTCATGGTTGTATTCCGTTTATGACCGACAGGTGGCGTCGGAGAGCTTCCTCCTCCAGCGTCGCACCTGTTGCTCATCGTGTCATTCGCTGTTTCCGTTCAAAGGACGGCCACGTTGTTGCTCGACCGTTGTTTTGTGCTACTGTCATGGGTTTGTTTTTTGTTTTTTTGTTATTTTGGTTTATTGGGTTTTTTCAGGACTTTGTGTTTTGTTTCTCCAGTGTACCCATGCAGTGTTTTTTTTCTTGTTTTTTTTTTTTGGTGAATTCATTTTGTTCGGCACGCCCTGGTTCTCTTGCCTCCCTCCATTTTTGGGTCCTCTTCCATCACGCTCAAACATGACAGGAATGTACACGGGGACGGAAAGTCGACTTGTCTTGATTTCAGCATGAAAATGCTGACATAACAAGCAGACCGGTTGCTTTTGTGCTACTGTTTCAAGGGATACCAGTCATGGTCCAGTCCTTTTTGTTTTTTGTTTTGTTTTCAGTGTCTGGCATTGAGTGGAGGGGTGTTCCCTCCAGAGGCGCACCTGTCACGAATCTGCCTGGTTATCCAACTGCCTTTCTCTATTTCAGCCTCGCTCACGACTCTTGTCTCCAAGTGCCGGATTATTGTAGACGTGCAAGACTTTTGGCCTCTTGGCTTCACGCCACATTTTCGTGTTTGTGTTTTTCCACTCGGAAGTACTTTTTGTTGCTATTTCTCGGTTTCCCTTCTCCTGTATTGGATTAGGTTATTGACATTTATCTTGTTCCTTGCCTTTTGCGAGTGTTTTTGATTTGTTTGACTTTTTCCTGGCTATTTGTTACCTTTGTCCTTGGTTGTACTTGGTCTGTTCATAAATATTTTTCCTCACGGTCTGATCCTTGCCCGCGTTTGTGGGATCCACGCCTATCCGGATTATTCCGGAGGCCAAGTGGCAAGGCACAAAAGGCATTGTTTCCTTCTCTATCAATAGCAATAAGCGGTGCCGGTGCCTGGTGCAAGTTTAAGCGTTGCCATAGTGACCACATGACAGCCTTGCTGTTCCACCGAGGTGTATGCTGTCCACAATGGATCTGCAGTTGTTGTTGGAGCATTTTGTTAAACAGCCAACAGCCCAAAC